AGTGCCGGCTGTCGGCTGGTTCTGGTTTTTGTGCGGGGAGGGGAGGGCTCGCTTCTCCCCTTCCACCGGCTCCCTCCCGACTGAAACCCGCAGGCAGTCAGAGGTGGGCGAGTAACAGTCCGAAAAAGGGTGCCCGGCATCGGCTTGGGACACCGAATCCCTGCCCGCGTAGCTTGTTAAGTAGGCTGATGGGAAAAGTTCATGAAGCAACATCACGGGGTTGTTCGGGTGAGTTGCGACAAGACCTCGTAAGGCTGTTACGTTTCCGAAGGGATCTTTGAAGTCTTCAAATCGTGTCGTTAAAACGTTGAGGCGTTAAATAAGCACATGGGTCCCGTATCTGGGCTGGAGGCGTCAACAGGCCAAAGGCTCTGTGATGCTGAGCAGGATCCTGTTCGCACAGGAGCTTGCCGAGGAAGGAGAATGCAAACGAGCGAGAAACAGAGACGGCATAAATGCAAAGTAACGTAGATAAGGGATCCTGCGTTGAGCAATTACGACAAAAAGCACAATTAAGTTTCTTTAGACTAAATTAAACCGAGCTTGTCATCTTTTCGGGAGGCGTTTCTCTGGTATCTTTCTTAGGGTTCAAAAAAACCCCAAAACTTAAGACTTGGCGGCATTAACTAGAAGAGCGTTTCTAGGGAAAGATGCTTTCCAGCCTCAAAACTTGGGGGGGTGTGGGGGGTGTGTTCTGTTACCCCTTACCAAAGTATGAACTTTCACTCCTGCTAAATATATGTGCTAACTGTCAACAGAGAGAGAAAATTTGTATGGAGGCATCTTTTAAATGTGACGTTGCGTTTTAGAGTGGCAAAACCGAAGCAGGAGATAACACTTTTCTTTCTTCGCATATTAATGTCTTTTCAGTGTAATTAGGAACGAGACAAGGAATTTTTCAGTAGGGGAAGTTCATAACTTCCTGGTACTAGCTAGCTTTTGTAGTTGTGTGTGTGTTTTTGGTTGGTTTTTTTTTCTTTTGGTTGCTGTTCTGTAATATAACGCGATAGTAAAGAGGAAGTTTGCGAGCAGTTTTGTCTCTCTGTTAGAAACTGTATGGTTTATGGAGCCCTGGGTAGGTTACTGCTTTCTAAAATAAAAACGCGTTTTTACACTTTCGGTTATTTTAGATTGAGCTAGGACGTGCTATAACAAATCTTCCACCGTTGTTTTCTTTGCCTGAGCTGTTGCAGGAGGTTATAAGCGCGTAGATTATTTGCTTTTGCTTTTCGGAAACGGCTGTTGCCGTGGAGGATGTAGGGTCACCGGTGATCTGTACAGCGCAGTGACGTCGAGGTCGAAGGGCGGCACTGCTCCCGTCCGCGTCTCACTGCAGTCACCTCGGATCGTAGGGTTTCGGGCGATACTTTCACGTCTTCCGCAGAGACCTTGCAGCTGCTTTGCTTTCACACGCAGATGTTTGGAGAGGCTGTTCGCGGGGCGCTCCTAGTTGAGCAAGAAAACTGCAAACCGTGTGGTCCCTCCAGAGCCTGCTCCCTTTGAGCACGGGGACAAGACAAAACGTACGGACGCTTGATCCCGTTGTCGCTCTGCTGGGTGGCGGCGTGTCGCGCTTCCTCCCGAATGGCACAGGCCCCGTTAAACTTTAAACCGGCCCAGGTTTCTCATCGTGGAGAGGCCTGATGGAAGTGTTGTTTGGAGTTTCTGGGGTTGTCCTTTTGTTCCTGTTTGTATTGCTCAAAACAGTTTAGAATAAACCAGCCTTCAGCTCTTGAATGAGGATAAGCTGGCTGAACTCCTGGTGCTGTTACGGCGCTTACCTATTTTCCTTGCGTATGGAATCGGGACGCTTGACCTCCTGTATTCTCTTTTAAATTATTTAGTGTAGCGTTCAGGGCGCGGGGGGAATAAACAATTTTATAACAAAAAGAACAAGAGGCAGGTTGAAATACGTTGCGTAATGGTTTCTATTGCTAGCATGCATTTAGGCAATTATAATTAATTGCAAATACAAATTAAACTCTTAAGCACTTAGATGAAGGATTAGCCCGATTTTTGCTTTTCTTCCATTTCAGATGCTTTTCCGAGTAGTTGTGGGCAGGTAGGTAATATGAGCAGCCGTGCGTTTCTCTTCCAGAATCAGCAAAAGAGAGTTTGTTTTTTGACATAGCTCGTATTTGTTTGACAAACACGGCAGGACCTGAAGAGGACAGGTCTTTAGCAACTGTGTGGGAACTAACAGACCTCGGTGCGTGAGAGCAGATTGTGCAATAGTTAAGCCGTGCCACTTCACAAGCGCAGTGCTGATTTACAGAAATAGGGAACGCTGAACAGACCCCCGCTTCGCTGCAGAGTGCTGACAATAATACCTTTTAGTTCGCGCAAACGCTTCTGTGTGTTTCCTCTCTACACAAAACGTGATGACACCAATAATCGTGGTAGAGATGATAACGTGATTCTTAAATAGAGTGAGAGAGAACCAAGATAAAACGAAGCTTAATGTTTAATCTCTGGAAGCTACCGCATCATTGAGCTTTACTTTCCCACAAACACACCTGCTGTTAGGCAGTGGGTTTGCCTTCAATGACATTTGTTTCAACCACAGCCCCGTAAAGATCACTGAGCCCACAGTTTTAAAATAAAGTGCTCTTAATAGGTGAGAAAAAAGTCCTCTTAAGCAAGCATTAGTAGAGCACGAAGGGAAATTATTGGTGAAAACAGAAAGAGTTAGACTTGGAGCGATTGTGTTCTACAGTAGTTTTGAACAGCAGGGCTCTAGCCAGTCTTGACAAATACGTAATGTATGTGGGCGTACCGTGCGTCTGCTTAGCAGCTATGTAAGCATGTGCATCTCCGAAGTGAGATGATTAGCAAGCACTTTACTGCAATTTTGTCATTATAACGTCTAAAATAGATCTTTAATTTAGTATATGGATACGTGTCTGTATTTGTGGCGTACTGTGTTACGTAGAAATGGAAAGGCGAGATTCTTTCCTCTCCTCAATTGCATGATGGAAACGGGAGGCTGACTGATAGGCAGCAGTCGCTCCTCACTGCTGGCAGAAGTCCTCTGTTGTCTGGTCCGCTGGGCTGTGCTGATAAATACAACAGCGTAAGTAGATTTAAGCGTGAAAGTTGAATAGCCGTACGCTGGGGTGTGAGCTCGGTTTTGTGAGAAGCTCAGACTTCTGCTCTCTCTTTGAAACCAGCTTTACGTCATTTCTAGGCTTTTTTTTGTTACCAATGCCTGTCCCCCCCCGCCCTTTGCTGGACTTGCGTATTTTCCAGAAAGAGAAAATATGCAAAGCTTATTTAAAGGAGGGTTAGGTAAAATCTGGGACGTATCTAGAAAAGGGACCATCCTTGTAAGTGACTGGACCTAGAGTAGTGGCTAATGTGTATTTAATGTGACAGCTCATGGTCTATTTTCAGAAAATTATTTAAAAACTACTGGATGGGACGTGATCAGTTTAGATACTGCATTTTGATAAATTGTTAACAAGGAATATAAAGAGTCCTAAACCGTAGTTCTCAAATGTTTGGCACCAAATACAGCCTGGAGTTGAAATGCATTGTGCCTTTTTAAAAGGCATTCAAGATTTGGAAAGGCACTTGTTGTTGAAGACAATTCCGGCACCAGAGCTGCTTTCACGTACTGCCATTCCACAGTTGTCTGTAGGTGCCTTACAGTTGAAATGTGCATTCAGGCAAGACCAAGGTGACATCTCAGAGAGGAAGTTCTTTCCACCCCTTCTCTGCTTCTCTTAATTACTTTATCTTTTAGGTTCTAGTATTTTCTGACTTTGAGCGTGAACCGCTGTAGCACTGGAAATGTTTTGCGATCAGCAAATCCCAGGCATAAAGTCCAAGCTTTGTGTTGGCAGGTATACCTAAATCATTGTAGGTGCAACAAAAGAGAAGCCTTTATTATGGAGTTAAGATTGGAATCCACCTCTTTGCCAAAACTCATATGCTGCGGACCTTAGGCTGTATAGACCTTGGGCAAAAGGAAGTAGGGGATCTTTTACCCTTTCAGCGTTTTCAATATATTTAATAACTATTTTGCTTATTATGTTGAAGTCCACGCACTTTTTTCAGTGCTGTGCCACAGGATGTTGCCTGTCATGTTTGTTTGTGATGCTCAACCTCGCTAGAGTAGGATGCTATTATATGAAGATGACAGAGAGCTCAGTAGACATTTCCATAAGCTATGTTCTTCTGATCATGCAGCACCGTGATGATTCAACTTCTACAATATTTACTTACCCTCTGTTATTTGTTTTTCACATGCCATCCCACTGTTGTCACTGTTTGATTGACTATCCTGTTTGATGTTCTCAGTAAGATATATTAAATAGCTTGTTACTGTCTGGCAATAAAACATCACTTGAAAAGTACTTACGCTCTTGCTAAGTTAATGTCTTTCTAACCCCCCCATTTAGGAGTTCTGCTGTCTCTTGTTCTTGTCTATCACTCGTGTTTCCCGAAAACCTCTTTTTGACCACTGCCCTGTAGCTTTTACTGAGGTTTCGTTGTCTGGGGAGGTACCGCAACTGGAAGCTGGCCCTGTGGGAGGTGGGCAGCTCAAGATGTAGAATTCAATACCAGCAATCAGGTATTTTCTGAGCCCACAGTGATGGTATTCAACCCAGGAGGGTTTGTTTGTTTGGTTGGTTTTTTTTGCATAATTTGCATAGTTTCTGCTTCACTATAATAGGAACTAAGTCCATCAATTCTGAGGAAACATCTTCACTTTCAGAGGACATTTGAGAGAACGTAGGACTGGCAGTACCTGTACTTTGAGAGGACAACCATTCCTAAAAGTGTATTGTAATTAAAAGTATCAACCAGTCCCGCAAAATTACGGTTTGTTTTCTGTTGTATAAAATCCTCTTTAATCAGACAGATACTCTCTAATAGCTAAAAGAAGCTAAGTTCTAGGTGGGATGGAGGGGAGGGCGTCCTTTGCTGATTACTTAGGTGGCGTTGATACCTGAGGCTTCATTTAAAATCTGTTCTCTCCCCTCACCCCCCGCCTTCAATGTGTGCGTGTACATAAAAAGAAGGGTAGATTGTCTGAGAAGGCAGACCAAGTGGAAGGATGGTCATATCAATCGAAGAGTCTAGATTTTCTAATTCTTACATCTTCTGCTGCTTGTTAAGCTCTACGGTGTACTAACATTGAAAATGTTTTGTTTTTAAGGTGGCCCCGAGCCCTACATTGAAATATTTGAACAACCCAGGCAAAGGGGCATGCGTTTCAGATACAAATGCGAGGGAAGGTCGGCAGGCAGCATTCCAGGAGAACACAGTACTGAAAACAATAAGACGTTCCCTTCCATACAGGTAAATGCCGCTTTTATCCGTGAATTACCATTGCCCACATTAACATTGTGCTGTAGCTACGCGTTGGACTCGGTGCAGTAAATAAAATGCTTTTCGTTTCATGTTCTGTTACTCTTTCCCTGGCATGCAAATGTAGATGCAGCAGAGTGGAAAAAGAGTTCTTTGCTCCTAGTCATTCAAGATTTTGTTTCAAATTTACAAGAAGAGGAGAAGGTGTAGAGGTAGTTAACAAAGTGCTGGTAGAGAGGGAATTCAGTGAAGCTGCTCGTTGCCTGGGAATCATTAGTTATTAGCTTTTTCCGTATGCACGTTTGCTCTGGTTTCTTAGTTGTGTGGCTTGGGTTTGTTTTTACTATATTTGGACTGCAGTATGAATTTTGGGAGAGCTTTGAAGGAGTTTGCATACAAAATTTGAAAAGGCTTTGAAAAGCTGCGGGGTGCAACATGAAAGAAGGCACTTTGTACAAGTGAGCAAAGTAAGAAAGTGACTTGCAGCCAGCGATGAGGTGATGAGGCTCTGCGAAAGAAACTACCGTGAAGTATGTGAAGTCAGAAGGGGATACAGAATTTAAAAACGAGCTGAGAAAGGGGAATTATGTGGTCAGAGCACCTGCAATGAAGGCGATTTGGGTGGTTGCATTATGGATGGGTTGGGAAATCCAGAATGAAGGGATTCAGAGTAGCCCTAGCAGCCATGATCAAAGCAGGGCAAAGATACAGACAGTGGAGGTGGAATGGAAGCGCTTTGGCAGTAGCTTTCATATGTGGGACGAAGGAATGTGTCAGAGACCCTGGACAGGTAGGGTAAGGGAGAAGAATTTCTGGTCTCCTATTTGAAGTTTTAAGTTGCTAGTGTTGCCTTGATCTCCTTCAATTTGGAGAAGATCTTTCAGAGATGAGATTAGAAGAGAAAGCTCAAATATAAATGGGAAGTTAGGAGTACTTGCCATCTTGAAGTACATTACAGTGCCCAGGAACAGAAGCTGTGCATCTGTGTTTGCAGTGTGCGCAAGTATAAAAAAAAAAAGTGGAGCCAAAGATGGAGTCTCTGGACTCACAGCAGAAAAAGAACAGATAGTGTGCGCAAGTATAAAAAAAAAAGTGGAGCCAAAGATGGAGTCTCTGGACTCACAGCAGAAAAAGAACAGATACAGAGGACGTGAAATCTGACAAAATACGAGATGTTTTAGGCTGAGGCATAAAAGCTCTTTAAGAAGAGGGAGAGTTTGAGAAAGATAGTGTTGGCAGTCATGTGTTGAGCAGCAGAGTGAGCCTCTACTACGTAAAGCAACTGTGCAAGCTGGTCTGGCCCCGAAGCCAGAATTACTAAGGGAAGAAGCAAACGAGAATGTCCCCCGCTGGACTGTCGCAGTGCCAGATTTGGTTAAGGAATGCAGGAGATGGAGATCTTGCCAGACTCTTTTTTTTTTTTTTTTCAGCACTCTACCAATTGAACAAGGAACTACGTAGGCTGCTGGCAAGAGTAAATACTTTCAGACTCTCAGCCTAAGGCTGTGTCAGGGCACAAGTTGAACAGGCAGCGTAAGCCCTTGATTCCTCTTAGCCTGGACTGTGCTGCACATGGCGGCCAGCCAGAACCCAAAGGGAAGATGGGACGTGGTAGGTGACCGTGCAATCCTGACATAGCTTGTTCTTTTTTTAAAGGTGACTGTTGATGACAGAGCTGATTGTTACCGATAGCAGGTGATTTCTAGGTGAATTCCTGCCTCCCTGAAGCCCGTAGGAGGCTTTAGTGCTGATTAGCTGCTGGGGGAGTCCCCTCTAGAGATGGAAACATCAATGAGGATGAGAACAGAGAGGCTAGGAAGAGACTAAATTTTGTGATGCGGTTGAGATGAACAACATCGAGGAAGAACTGGAGAATCAAAAGTGGCTAGATCAGGCTTCGAGTTCAAGGGACTGGGTGAGAAATGAGGGAGAAATGATGTAATAGTTGAAGGAGGTGAAGGAGTGGTGGAGGTTTTATTTTAAGGGTAAAAAGTAACAGTGGCTTGTACGAAGGCCAAGGAAGGAGCCAAATTGGAGACTGAAGAAGCTAACAGATGATGGAAGCTAGAAGAGCACAGGTCAAGTCAAAGGTTTGAGGTGTCCACAGGATATACGATGGATCCTTGGAGTCTCAGGAGGAGGAAAGAAAGGGCTGAAGGAGGAGGGGAACAGTTAGTTATAGGGCAGGGGAAGTGGAGGAGGCGAGCTCGCCTCTGCACAAATGTGTGCCCGAGCAAGTCTTGTATTTGCTTTCAAGTTGTTATGCTTCAAACAATTTAGGCCAAACTGGTTTTTTTTTCTTCTTTTTTCTTTTTTTTTTTTTTTTTTTTTACACTCCCCCACACAAGCTTTTTTTTTTTACACTCACCCACACAAGCCTTGGTGACTTCACTGGTAGCCGTCAGCAGGAGAGAAGATTTTTATGCACCTGAGAAACGCGTGTTGAATTAGGCTGATGACTGCTGTGAAAGCTCCAGTAGGAGCTTGAGAACTGAGCGCCCCCCTTCTTGAATAGAAGATTGAATATTCATCTGAGAATTAATTTTAAAAAAAAAAAAAAGATTTCATAGGGGATTATGTCATGCTGTATCTGTTAAGATCCTCTTTCACTACTTAGTGTTCCATGGACAGGTGATATCCTTATCCCTGCAGCTTCAGGAGCTTTTTCCTGAGATCTCTGGAGCTAGACCTGTCCTTCAATAAGCATTTGTATGTGGTCACCTACGTAGAATTTTGCATCTTTCATTGTAAGGCTAGATATGATAATGAAATACGTCCTGTTACGTTTGGTCTTACAGCATTACAAGCTGTTTTAGGTCTAAGCTTCTATATTACCTCCGGCCTTTTGCACAGGGATGAATTCAACTCGTATAAAGAGCCCTGGTAAGATGGTGAAGCAACAGATCTCCAGCCTCAAAAAAAAAAAGAGGAAAGGGGAAAAAAGAAAAAAGATTCTCTAGAGCCTTTCAGACTTCTTTCCCATTCTTGCAGTAGGGTAGTTAAGAGAACTGAACGGATTGAATGTCAAATGCTGGCACCAGCGAAATTTTATCGTTACAAATAACCAGCTTCTTTGGCAAAACCAGCAGGCGAAGTATCTTGTTTTACTTTCTGAAATAGATGAGAGATACTTTTGAAAAAAAATTCACTTTTCAAATATTTTGAGGAAGAGTTGGTTTTTCAGTGTAAAGTGAACAGAACTGAAATGGAACGAAGAAAACTTCTGAACGTTCCTGGCTGTTATGAAGCAATAATGCCATTTACTTAGCTGTGGTATTTCTTCCGTAGAGTATTTTAGGATATAATGTATTTTCTGTTACATGTGGGGACTTCACTAGCCCTCGTGTCTAAAATAAATACCTCGCATTTTTTGTAGATTCTGAACTATTTTGGAAAAGTCAAAATAAGAACTACGTTGGTAACGAAGAATGAACCCTACAAGCCACACCCTCATGATCTGGTTGGAAAAGACTGCAGAGATGGCTACTACGAAGCAGAGTTTGGGCCAGAACGGCGAGTCCTGTCGTGAGTAATGGAGTTGCTTGGGATTTCGATTAATTATGGAAGTGATTTGCTAATCTTATGTTTCAAAACTCTTGACTAGTGATCAAAAGGCCAATTAGTATGCTGTCTTTGCTGAAGATTACTAATCCATCTCAGGGAGAGGGCAGCTTCTCTTTGAAGTGTTTCCTTCTTTTTTCAATACTTCACACGCTCCTCTTCGGTCCTGTTCTTTTCCTATCGCCCTTTTCTTTCCTTTGTTCATTCTCCTAACGTCTGCCTCCTTTTCCTTTCTCCCACTTGTTTGCTTTTTTTTAGTCTTGTTCAGGAACACTTCTTACTCTTGAGCGTGACTCTCTCCTACATGTGAAAAAGATGATTAATAGAGTGGGTAACAACAGCATTAGAATTAGTACTTCACGGTGATAAGAGATTTGGGGAAGTTCATGTCTTCCATGAGAATTATATTTGGACTTTCTGGAAACTGGTGGAGGAAGTTTGTCCTGGCTGAGTATCACGTCATTTAGAAGTTAATGGTTGTGACGCATCTAGAAACGTGTTAGGAGCTGTCTCTGTTGTTGCTGTTTGTTTGGGCTGGGGGGGGGGGGGGGGGGTAAAAAAAAAATACAGATTCTGCTCAGGACCAGCTCTGCAGAGCAAGCGTGCCGGGGAAGGATCTCCTTGTGGATGCAGTGAGGAAAATTCAGGTTTTGTACGAGATGTGTTTCTCTGTGCTATTCAGAGGGATGTTAGGAATATCTAGAATACAATTGTATTTGATGGCATTTACTGTAAGTTTACCGAGTCTTACGTAATCAAGTAAAAGCAGATTAAACTGCAACAAGTGTCGAGTGATTAGTGCCGGAGAGGGGAATTTAGAAATCACAAGCTGTTTGTGGTTCACAGTTTGCGATGTAGAAAATTTGGAAGTAGGCTATTGCTTTGGGGTAAACATAACTGAGCTGGGAAGAAAATAAGGTAAATATTTCCGTGTGTAAGTAGCTCTTACGCACTGCTCTCAGGCTGATGTGATTCTGTTGATGTTAGTGAAATTACTCCCTATTTATGTGGGTTTAGTCAGTAGAACACTATTAAAGGAGAGAACTGAAGGCACAGTCTGTTTGAAGATGATGATTGCCTGATGGCGAAATAAACAGCCGTAATAGTGGAGATGCTTCTTCAACATACAGCCCAGGCTCAAGTGGTCATGAACGTGCTGCAGTGTATTCAGGTGGCACGTAGCACGTTGACTGTACTGTCTTTTGCTGTTACAGATGCTAACAATTTTATTAGTTTATTGTTTTCAGCTCCGTTCACAGTGCTGTCCTAATTGGCAAACGGTAGAAAAGGATTAGTAAATGTAATGCCTATAATTTTTCCCCCACTGTCATACCTCTCTAGAAAGGTAGGGCTGTCCCTTCAGGCACTCACCTTCCATCTTGATTGTGGTAACTTCATCCCTCGGCGGCTTCCCCGCAAACAGAGGTCCCCCTTCACCTTGTCTAAAAGGCGGTCGCAAATATCTTAAGCTGTTAAGGGACGGTGCACCTTCCTCTGACCATCCGTTCACTGGCTTCTCCTTCGTCTTCTCAAATCAAGCTTCCTCACCCAAGGGCGAAGGATGTCTGCCGTTCTAGCCCATCCCGCTTCCCGCTCTCAGCTCTGTGCCTTCCGATCCAAAGCAAAAAGGCCCGATTGCTTAACACCTTTTCTGGTTATGTATTACGTTCACCGGGCGCAGGAAGACGCTGGTGGTTGGTTTTCCTCTTGGCGTTTTGTTGCACAAGGTTGAGCGTGCGAGCACGAGGCGAGCCCGCAGAGGGGCCGTTACGGGACGTAACGCCAAAAAGCATCGGGATGCTCTGCAAAAATCTATTTGCAAATTTTGATTTCATCTCCATTATATGTGTGCATCAAATCCTGTTCTTTGGCGTACTGCTGTGTCTCCATTTCACTTAAGGCACTTGTGATCGTTCGCTGTGTCCGTCAGTTCTTCTCAATATCGTTAGGTTATAAGCCTCTCAGTTTCTTACAAAATAGTAACTGGGCTACTTACACTTCACTGATAATGCGAAACTGTAAGCTTCAGTTGAGCTTGACATCGGAGATCCTGATGGGAGGAGGCTAGAAACATTCTCTTTGAAAGGTTTCCAGCATCGGTACACTCATATTTTTATTTTTATTTTTTTTAACAAATCATTGGTTGCTATAAGATGAAAGAACAGTGTGATCCATAATTGGATCTGGATGTTTAAAGTCATCTTCCTTTTTGTGGCTGGTGACTCAGTCTTCACATTCTTCTCTTCGAGTCCATGTTGGAGAAAAGCCTCGTACAGCATTAGCGAGCAGGCGATGTCCTCTCTCGGTAGTGGTTCTGGCTGTTTACTCCTGCTGAGCATCCCAAACAGAGCAAAAATCCCCCCCCCCTCCCCCAAACTGGAATTATCAATCCCAGATTTTGGGCTGTTTCGAGCAATTAATCTGCTTTCTGCTTGTTTAAAATTCCCCGTGTAGTTCCGGTTGCACAAAGTGCTTTGTTCTGCCTGTGGCCTGAAGATCTTTGTTCTGCTGCCTCAACTTGATCAGAGCCCTGCCTGGCCGAAGCATCGCGGCAGAAGCACGAACGTTGGAGGTGGTGTGACTGCCTGTACGCTCAGATTTTTTTTTTTACTTCCTAGTTTGCTGTCTCTCTCTACGTGGATGATATCATAGTTTTTAAACACGTTTTTCTCTCTCTCTCTCCCCCCCCCCCTCTTTTCCCCAAGCAGACACATCCTTTTCTGTAACCTTCCTTCCTACTTCTCCCTCTCCCTTCTCGTTATCTTGCTTGCTTCCTGTCAGTTAGCGTTGATGTGAAACCCCGCAGCCTTGCTGGGGTTCTCGACAGTTTCTCCTCTGATCCGGCCCTCTGTTTCGCCGTAGCTAAAGAGACACTTTCACTGTGACAGCGCACGTTTAAGAAAATGTTTATAATCTGAGAATTATTTGGGGGGGGGGTGGCTTAAAAGCCCGGTTCCTCTCCCCGAGAGGCTTCGTTCACAGTGGTTGAAAGGCGCAGGGTAATGGCGGTCAGTCCTTGCATGGCCGGGTAGAGGTTTTGTTCAAGACCGGTTCGGCATACGTGCTTGCTTGATGGTTATCTGTAACTTACGGTGGACGGCTGGAGAGCCTGGGACTGCCAGATGGCAGTTTGGGGGTATAATACGGAACCGGGCCTGTTCAGGGACTTGGAGTGCGCTTCGAACTGAATCTGTGGAATACAGTGGGTGTTTTGGGGGGAAAAAAGGCAATATGTGCGGTGATCAAGCCCTAAAAAAAGTACTACCTACAAGAGAAGATAGAAATAGGATTGCTCATCAGGGTACAGTACAAATGTTGAATGTCAGTAGCCACAATATGAGAGAACACCTCCCCCCTCCTCTGCCTTGCTTCATGTCAAGGTCGTTGGAGAACTTCAGGAATTTTACAGAGAGCTGGTTTCCCTTTGACAAATGCCAATCCAGTGAAACCAAAATTATTCATAAGGATTTTCAATCCATGCTTTTTGACCTGGGGAGGAAAGGTTTTGGAAATATTAGACAGCTACACACGCATATACCCTTCTGGATCTCTGTATGCATATCAGCCCCATTTTGGCTTATACTTCTACAATATTAAGCCTAATATTTAATGAACCTGATAAATACTTTCCAATAGTTCAGTGGTTTCTCTTCCAAGCATAATTTGTGGAGGGCTCTGATAAGTACCTCTGGCTTTCCAGAAAAAAAAAAAAAGCACCGAAGTGCTTTAGTGAATTCTGAGATGCTACTGCCTTTTATTGTCCTGGAGGTCACCGTATCAAGTTCAGGTTCCAAAGGAAGCTTCTGCATCCCTCTAGTGAATGGAGGTTCTGGAAGTGGAGCCTGCTTGCAGAGGATTTGGGACCCTCTGAACAGAGGGTGTTGGGCGCCGGCGAGGGAGTTGAAGGAAATTAAACGTAATATCACGCTAGGATAGTCTCGTTCAGAGCAGGGGAATGCAGAACTACTCTTGAGAGCGTTGGCGGGAGCAAGGAGTATCTTTGGGTGCGTTAAGGTGGTGTTTTCGGCATAGCTAAAGCGAAGAGCTTTGGTGGAGCGTCAAAGGAAGGGAAATTGCTGGTGCTTCTGGAGAAAGGTGCCTGCTGGCGTGACCTATCTTCTGAGCTTATTGTATCATCACGAAACGCGGATTATTATTTTATTTACTTATTTATTTATTTTATTTCCTGCTTGACATCCACTCAGCTTTGATGATGTCATGGTTTTTCCATGTGGGAAAGAGTCAGCTCGCCTGGGACTCCCCCCACCTCCTGCATCGGGGTGACCTGCACTCTTATGCAAATCAGGAGGAGCTGCAGCTCTTCAGAACTTTTCCATAACTACGTGAGATTTAAAAGCCTGTTTTGGCTTGTTTCGAAAAACCCTTTAAGATAGTGTTGGAAATCTACGCTCCCTGATAAAAGCGGGAGAGCAAATCCTTCACGAACACAAATCGGCAGGTTTATTGATAAAAATAATTGCCACGTTAATTTACCTGAGACCGAGTATTTAACTTTTAAATCACTGTAGGTTTACTGCAGAGTGACAACTCTTAATATAGAAATATATATTCTTAATAAAGAATATGAATTCTTTAGAACTTTATTTTAGTATTTTTCACTTCTGTTTCTGCTCTTATTTTAGAAAAAAACAGCGTCCCTGCTTTTCAGATCTCTTACACCCTTCTCGAAATATGCTTTTTATTTCTTACACTGTATGTTATCACACTAGTCAACATCAAATAATTTATTTAGTATTCTGCGCTGAAGACTTTTATCAGTTGCTGAAATCCTGCCACATGTGCTTCAGTTTTCAGAATTTGGGCATTCAGTGTGTGAAGAAGAAAGACCTGAAGGAATCAATTTCTTTACGAATCTCGAAGAAGATCAACCCCTTCAACGGTGAGTAGAACGTACCTGGTTCACTTTGGTGAGGTTTTGGTTGTCCTGCCTTTGCTTTTGTGGTGGAGCTTTATTTTTTCCAAAAAATCTTTTTTCTTTTTTTTTTTTTTTTTGAGAAACACTTTTCCTCTTCTGTGTCCCTCCTAGTCTTTCCTCGCTGTCATCACATGGTGAATCTATTTGGGTAGTTGCCCCTCATTATTATTATTATTATTACTATTATTTTTATTTTATTTTATTTGTTTTTTAATCCCCAGCAGCAACGTGAGTTGCTGCTTGGACGGAAGCAATGGGATAGCAGCAGCAGCCTTCCCTGGAGACTTCTACAAGTATCTCGGGAATCAGATTCCCCAGTTTTGGCAGCTGTGAGAATGAGAGAGTGAGTCAGCGTTAACTCTGCAACAACTTAAACCGATACAAATCTAGCTTGCCGCCGTCCCATCTCTTCTCTTGTTGTGACACTGGTGTTTGTGACCCCTCAGCCAGCCAGTTCAGGCAGCCGGTGACTCCCTGAAGCTGCCCCTCGCTTGATTTTTACAGCACGGGAGCTGGTACAGGCACTCGGGAAGTCCACAGCGGTGTTGGTCTCCGTCACGTCTGAGGCAAGTTGCGCTGCTACAGAACCACACCTGTAAGGGCCTACCCACGGGCCGTAGTTTTATATGACAGCTGATCTGTGGGCTGCTCTCAAAAAGAGTCATCCTGCTCTTCCCTCCATCCCTGGTCACACACTCCTACTGCTTTCCTCGCACCAGATACGGAGGCTGTGTTGCTACACGGTGAACGGACTCGGCAAGTTGCTCCGATGGAAAACCAAAAAAAAAAAAAACAAACCAAAAAAGTGGTTTCCCCTCAGATCAACTTGCTAAACCAATTCATCTCACAGCCACGTAATCGCCAAGTTCAGCGCGCAGAGGGAGCGGGGAGCACGCGGCAAATCGTAGGGCCAGCTGGAGCGGGACCAACGCTTTCAGCATGCAGGCACAACTGGGGGCCGTTAGATGAAAAGCATAAACCCCCCCGAACGATTAGCTAAGCATTACTATGAACGCAGTTACGTATTTGCTTAAGTGTGGCAAGAGCTTGGAGATTTTTCAAATACTGTTTGTTTGTTTGTTTGTTGTTTTTAATACCCACAGAAGTCTTGCTAAATTCAGGTAAGACCCTTCTTAGAGAGTTGAGAGCTGGATTTCTGGCTAGCTTCAAAATACATACTTTGCTTTTGTCCTGAACTGGGACAAAAAGAAGCATGTTGAACTTACTACAGAATGAGGAATGTTTTAGACCACTTCCTTAATTTTTAGAAGAGCCGTTTGGAGTCAGGCTGATGGTCCAAATGGTCCATCTAAACAATTATCCTGGTTCTGATAACGTATGCACACCATAGCATTTGTTTTTACGTGAGTTTAGTCCATCAGCACAATTTAAGCAGTTTAAGCGTTTTAATTATGTTACCTTGACTCAGCCAGCTCTACCTTAATTTCAAACAAAAAAGGGGAATTATTCTGTTCAGCCCTCTTGGCTTTCTTTTACTCCATAAATAAAAAATGAGTTGACGTTTTTCTCTTGAGGTAGTGCAGTAAAAGGACATGATAAAATCCCTTTCTGTACGTGTATTTCACCAAAGAAACTTTAGCACCCACGTCGTTAGCTCTGTTCCTAGCGCTGCTGGGTGTAATAGTGAAGACACGTTTAACTAAAGTCATTTCACAGTCGATTTTTACAGTGGTTGGCACCTAACTCCAAATTCACTGATCATTTTTGGGCGATCACAGCAGGTTGCGCTCGGTAGCATGAGGGCAGATCCTGGGCTGCTTTCCGCCAGTCCCCAGCAGCAGAGGAGAGCCTTGCTTGGGTGACACACAGGGCAGCACCCTGCTCTGGGCAGGGGTTGTGCTGAGAAAGGGCCGCTGGCAATCCCCAGCCTGCGGAATCGCCTTTCGGCACTTGTTAACGTGTCAGCACAAAGCAAGAGCCGCTTGAGGATGGCCTCCAGCTGCTCCAGGGCAGTCCCACGCTAAGTAGAGCCCAGAAAGGCATAGGACCGAGGTCTAATAAAACAGGATTAGCGACAGAAATATTTTTATATGTGTACGTAGTTGATCAAAACAGTGTTTCATTAGCAGCAGTCCCCATAATGTTCGCTGCTTGATAAGATTGAAGGTTTTATGTATGGGTTTAGTTTGTTTGTTTGCTTTTTAAGGTCAGAAGAGCATCACTACATTCTTCCAAGATTGCACAGGCTATATTGTGTCCATCCTGCACTGTGCTTTATTTATGTGTCTTCAGAAAGGCATCCGACTTTTCTATTTAGGGAAGTTTCGGAGTTAAGTGCATCCTCTAAGCAGGTTGCAAGTTAGCGTTACTCATTTCGTGTATGAACATCGTAAAAGACATTTCATGGAGCTGAAAACTAGCCTCCGGGGTGTTTGCGTGTTGGTTGTTTTTTCTTTTTCTTTCCCACCTTCTTCTGGAACAGTCAAACGGTCCCTGCCCTGAGCCTCCTTTCGGGACAGAGGTTCAGTATTGACCCTATTAACAGATGCAAAATGCCTCCAGCCTGCCAGCATACGTATTGCTTGTCTTGTCCGTGAGGGAGGAAGTAATAGCAAGGCGTGGGTCCACAAAGTTGCGTTCCAAACTTCCTTGTGTAAAGGGGCCGTCGTCTTCCAGGGAAGCCCAGATGCCACAGACGACTGGGATGGCAAAGGGAGGGTGAGCCCTAACACAAATGCTGTGGGTGGTGTCACCCCTCCTCCACGCCTTCCAGCATATGGTATGGACACATACTGAATGAGGGTCACAATCGGCAAGAGTAGGAAGTTGCTCGGTCATGACGTACGGGTTTTAAGATCATCTTCTCCAGTGCTTTCGCCTCTACTGTTGAAGCAACTGATGTCTACCTCTGAACTCCTGGATGATTAGAAGTCGGTGTTTGCAGATCATGCCGTGTGCCTAGCTGGAGCTGTCTGCGTCTGAGTTATTCTGCAAGCGTACCTGTAAGGCTGTTCCACAACGAATTCCCCGCTGTTTGCTGGCAGCATTTACCCCTTGTTAAGTTCAGCACAGGCTGTGCAAAGCGTGCGCGTTCACTAGGATGCAAATCAGATCACTTGCACTCAGGTCGCTCCTCTTGCGTTAGCCTTGTTTGAGAGAGTTGCTGTTTCCACACCATCTCTGGACGTGTTCGTGATCTGCTGTGTTCACAAGGTACATCCCATGTATTTCTGCCCTTTAATAAGCTAAACGATGCTAGAAATCCCTTTTGTCTCTTATTCCTGAGCACGCCAGGGAAGTGGTGCGCAGTGGCAGCCTAATGTGTAACTAGGACTCCTTGGCATGATGATGGTATAAATAGCACAGCATCGAAGGAGCAGAGTTACTCCTCCAGTGGAGCTGGTCCACGTCTGCTTTCTAGGTTGTTTGTTTTCTTTTAGTAGCTGTTGAGTTGTGCCATATCCTTGTCTTCCCATGTACTCTCTGATGTACGGCCAACTCAAATTAAAAGAAGAGCCAGTCTTGAGTGAAAAGCTTTTGTGGGTGGGTGTGACTTGACATAGAGACAACAATTGAGTTAATAACGACTCTAATTATCAATGAGGAAAAGCCCTAAATATGTTCTTTAAATTTAGGGGAAAACTGTACTTAGCAAAGTATTGCAGAGGACTAACCTTTTTCTAGCCAAATGGATGACGGCACGAAAACCCTAGACTTGTCTTAAAGTGAGAAACGCAGAGAATTGCCAAATTTCAGGCCATTGATCAAGAGGGTATAAATAGGCTTTCCCTGGAGCTTGACATATGCTTAAGGTTCCTGTTCCTTTGTAATTGCTCTTGCTAATAAGCATTTAATTAATTTTTAGGCTCTCCCCTGTACCCCGCAACTAACTCGGCTCCATTTGCCTCCGCAGTCTTTCCTTTGCCGTTTCCCCTTTCCGCCCGCGAGCAGCTGACCCCGCGTTGGCTTCGCGCTCGTCACAGTCTCCACGACACCCCCTGCACGCCTCCGCGCTGCACCCGGGCTCGTCCCCACACCAGTCACACTCGCTTCCTGCCCACGCACGCAGTCACCCTCTCCGCAGCTTCCCTTGCCGGCGTC